CATTCTACACCTAAAAAAACACGCGTTCAAGGGATTTGTGATTATCTTGATGCAAAAAGCATTACTTATAGCTACAATAACGTTTTTCGCTTTTTATAAATGCAAAGGGTAAAATAATTGCAGATTGAATGGGCTCCTTTTTTTGTGGTAGTGGGGAAAAAATTTGCGGTCCGGACTTTTTTTTCCAGACCGTGCCGCGCCGGCAAGGCGGTGCCGACAGGAAAGCTGGCGCCACACAGTGTGGAGAACGCACATGCCTGGAATGATTCAGCCAAAGGCACAGTGGCAAGCGACCGCATCTCCCGATCCACGCCAATTGGCTGAACGAACAAGGCTACCTGCCGAACACGGTCGCGAACAAAAATTCCAGCCATTCTCAGCTCAGCCTTAGGTTAATCCAGTCTCGCGATAGACACGCCCTTTTCGCCTGCGCCTTTGCCTGCGAACACTATCCAATTTTGCGCGCCCATCCCTCCGCTTTTGAGCACTCATCTCCGGTCTTCGCAGCTGATCTTTATATTTGGTTCTGACAGCCCCAGGTTTCTTGTCATTTTTCCTTGTTCCCTCTGGCTCGCGCCTCGGATTGTCAAACGTCCCCAATCGCCAACCAGGCAGCGATCGCCACGATGAGTAACAGCATGCGGGACCTCATTGACGGCGAGGCCGAGCTCGACGACGAGGAAGACGACGAGTCCTTTGATGGTGAGGGAGGCGACCGCGCCTCCAAGCGACCTCCCCAGGTGGACGACTCTAGCGAGGAGGAAGACGACGATGATGAGGAGGAGGCCCGAAGGGTTCGCACGCGCACAACCCCTACCGGCGATCCATCCCGCCCAGGCTGACAATATTGCTCGTTTAGATTCGCGAAAACTTCATTGTAGATGAAGAAGAAGAGGAGGAGGACGCCGAGGATGATGAGGCCGAGCGTAAACGCCGGCGCAAACGGCGACGGGCTGAGCGCGAGGAGGAGGCTCAACTGGATGACGAGGATCTTGATCTGATCGGGGAATCGCGCCCCGATTGGGAACGAAAACCTGAATCACAGGCAAGTCCCATCAATCTGGAGCCCGGGAGTGGGAGAACGCGAGGACCACCTGCTGACAGGTTATACAGCCAAAGTTCAAACGCCTGAAGCAGGGCCACCGCGAGGACGATGCGCGAGCCGATAACCGACGCGACCTGACCCAGATCTTCTCCGACGATGAGGATGAACAGGAAGACCGACACTTCAACCGCCCTAGTCGTCACGGACCGGCGGACGAATTCGACGATTTCATCGAGGACGACTACCCCGAAGATGAAGATGAGCGCAACCAACGACAGGAGGACATGGAAGTTGCTCGTCCCCGAGATCGAGGTGTTGTCGTTGACACGTCGGGTCTGGACAAGGAGGCACTCGATGATTTTGAGGCCATCTTTGGCCATGGAGAAGACTACGAGTGGGCGCTTCAGGCTGAGGAGGACGAGCAGGAGCGCCAACGCGAGGAGGAGAATCTTGAGATCAAGGACATCTTTGAGCCCGCGCAGCTTCAGGACAAGCTTCTCACTGACGAGGACAACGAGATCCGCTTCACCGACGAGCCCGAGCGGTTCCAGCTCGAGCGAAGGCCCTTCAAGGATCTGCAGCTGACGCCGGAGCAGTTCAAGGAGGAGGCACGCTGGATCAGCAAAATGATCTGGCCAAAGAAGCAGCTTGGGCTCGATTTCAGACCCCCTTTCAACAAGGCGGTTGCCAAGGTTCTCGAGTTCTTTGTTGTGGATGAAGTCGAAGTGCCCTTCGTGTTCAGCCATCGCAAAGATTACATTATCTACATGCAAAGGCAGGAATACGAGCGGAACGCGAGCGATTCCGACGGCGCACCCGAGAAGCTGCTCCTACAGGACGATTTATGGCGCATCCTCGAACTCGATATTAAATTCCGGTCGCTGATCGAGAAACGGAACGTGCTCGAAAAGACGTACAAGAACCTGAAGACCAGCGCCGGAGTCTCTGATCCCATTTTCGATGAGATGGTATTCAAAGCTGAGACGATGGAGGAGCTCCAGGACGTGCACGACTATATGCAATTCCAATATGCCTCTCAGATGAAGGAGCTCGCAGCCGCGGGCGCTATCACCAAGGAAGTGAGGCGCCCGGGAGCAAAGTCTACGAGTGGCTTCGAACGTATCCGCAACGCCAACGCGTACAACTTCGTCAAGGCCTACGGAATACCCCCTGATCGCTTGGCTCAGAATGCTCTCAGGGAAGGCAAGAAGGTGATCCCGGAAGACCCGGAGAAGCTGCCCATCGAGCTGGCCGATAGCCTATGCGACTCGTATTTTGACACTGGCGACGGCGTTATGAATGCGGCCCGCAACATGTACGCCGAGGAGCTCTACCAAAATCCCAGGATGCGCCGACACTTCAGGGTCGCCTACTACGCCATGGGGTCGGTCAGCTGTCGGCGTACAGAGAAGGGCCTCAGGAGGATCGATGAGTCCCACCCCTTCTACGAAATCAAGTATCTGCTGGACCAGACCATCGAGGATCTTGTGGGGCGGCCCGAGGTGTTCCTCAAGATGATGAAGGCCGAGGAGGAAGGGCTGGTGGAGGTCAAGCTCACTCTGCACCAGGAGCGCGAGTTTCGCAAGAACCTTCTTGCCGAGTTCCAATCGGACAACTTCAGCGAGAGGGCGGATGCCTGGAACGAGGAGCGGCGCAAGGCCCTCGATGTCGCATTCCCGAAGCTTGAGAAGATCATTGCCAAGGGGGTCAAAGATTCGCTTCGGACGGCCTGCCAGGAGGACCTCCTGCAGATCTGCCGGACCGAGTTCTTCAGAAGGATAGACCAGGCGCCTTACAAACCCAAGGGCCTCGTCCTGGGAACAACTCCACGATGCCTGGTCATCTCGAACGGCATGGCCGACCCCAACCGAGACCTCCTCTGTTGGGCCTACGTCGAGGAGAACGACCGAGTGATGGAGCAAGGAAAATTCGGCAGTCTGGGCCGCGACGAAGCAGCCCGCAACGCATTCTGTGAGCTTGTCGAGCGTCGCCGCCCTGACGTGATTGGAGTGAGTGGCTGGTCAGCCGACACAAACCGTCTTGTGCGGGACCTGGAAACCCTGATCAACGACCGGGGCTTGATGGGCAACGAGTTTGAAGACCCGGAGACGGAGGAGGTGCGCACCGAGCTGCTCGAGGTCCTCGTTGTGAATGACGAGGTGGCAAGGCTGTACAAGGACAGCCCCAGGGCTGTGGCCGACCACCCGACGCTGAACCCTGTGACGCGCTACTGCATCGCCCTGGGACGTTATCTGCAGAACCCACTCAAGGAGTACGCCAACCTGGGCAAGGACATCACGTCGCTGGCCATCCACCCTTGCCAGAATCTGCTTCCTCAAGACAAGCTGTTCAAGGTATTCGAGACGGCGCTCGTTGACGTTGTCAACCTGGTGGGTGTTGATATAAACGAGGCTGTGAACGACCCATACACAGCAACTCTGTTGCCATATGTCGCCGGCCTAGGTCCCCGCAAAGCTACAGCTGTCATCAAGGCGATTCACAAGAATGGCGGCATCGTCAGCTCGCGCGCCGAGCTTGTGGGCGACCCAGACAGAGGCAAAGTCCCCGTGGTCGGGCCCCACGTGTGGAACAATTGCGTTAGCTCCCTCATCATCGACTACGACGCGACGAACGAGGCATCCGACCCTCTCGATAGTACTCGTGTGCACCCGGAGGACTATGAGCTGGGCAGGAAGATGGCGGCAGATGCTCTCGAGCTCGACGAAGAGGATGTCCGAACTGCTGTTGAGGACAACGGGCCGGGCGCGGTGGTGCGTATGCTCTTCAAGGAGGACAGCCAAGAGAAGGTGAACGAGCTGGTCCTGGAGGAATACGCGGAGCAGCTGGAAGCCAAGTACCACCAACGCAAGCGCGCCACTCTCTACACCATCCGCAGCGAGCTGCTGGGGCCATACGAGGAGCTTCGCCGCCACTTCATCACTCTTTCGCCCGACGAGATATTCACCATGTTCACGGGTGAGACCAAGGATTCGCTGTGCAAGGGCATGATCGTGCCGATCAACGTCCGCGTCGTCAAGGAGGAATTCGCAATCGTCAAGCTCGACTGCGGCATAGAGGGTCGGATCGAGGCGCACGAGGTGTCAACACGACACTCGGTGCGAGAGATACTCCAAGTTGGCCAGACGACGCGCGCCAAAGTGCTCGATATCAGCCGAAAGGACTTCATGTGCAGACTCTCGGTCAGGGAGGATATGCTCCAGGTTCCGTTCCGCAGGCACCAGGACTACAACAGCCGCAACTGGGACTTTAGGTTGGAGACGCAGGACACGGAAGACATGACGGAGAAGGACAACGGCACGGGTCGCGCCCAGCGTGTCATCAAACACCCCATGTTCAAGCCATTCAACTCGACCCAGGCCGAGGAGTACCTTGGCTCGCAGCCATCGGGAGAGGTGGTGGTCCGGTCATCGTCCAAGGGCAACGACCATCTTGCCGTGACGTGGAAGGTGGCGGACAATGTGTACCAGCACGTCGATGTGCTGGAGCTCGACAAGGAAAACGAGTTCTCGGTGGGCAGGACCCTCAAGGTGGCCAACAAGTACACTTACTCGGACCTTGACGAGTTGATTGTGGACCACATCAAGGCCATGTCGAAGAAGGTGGATGAGCTCATGCGGCATGAGAAGTTCCAGAAGGGATCCAGGTCTGACTTGGGTAAGAATTTCTTGGCGTCCCTGTCGGGCGTTGGCAGCGTGCGGAAGGCGGGATATCATGCACAGATCGAGCTAACTTTGATGTCCTACAGAGCGATGGCTTACCACGTACATGGATGCCAATCCGAACCGATCGACGTATGCGTTCTGTCTCGACACGAAACACCCCGGTTACTTTGTGCTTTGCTTCAAGGCGAGCCGGTCGTCGAGGATAGGCTCGTGGAGCGTCCGCGTGATCCCGCAGGCGTTTGAGATGATGGGTAACCAATACCCGGATGTGAGGGCGCTTTGCAATGGGTTCAAGCTTCGATGGCAGAGCGAGCAGCTCAAAATGTCGTCGATGCCCCACAGGGGCGGCAGGTAGAGTGGGGAAGGACTCGTGTCTCGCTCGCTAATGAGCACTTGATGGGCTAGTGGCAGTGATTGGAGACAGGCAGCAGTTATACTGTCTTGGCAGGGTGACGACGACATGCGGAACCTCATGCGATGGTGGTAGATAGTGGTAGCGGTGGCAGCCAAGGTTTGGCAGCACAGTTTTCTACGCCAAGTGCAAGACGTATTACGAAAACATGGCCTTTGCTCTTGGGGTCGGTAATCTCGATAGATATAACAGGCCAAGGCCAGAATGGAATAAGACTAGTCGTCGCGGGGGGTTCCTTGCTTAGTGGGAAGCCGGCCATCGGGTGCCTACACATACATAGTATCGCTAGTGCGCCGACGTGGACGTGGATGTACTCTAGGCAGGGCAAAGAGCATGAATACGCATTAATTGGTTGGAAAGGACTCGTAAGGAAGGATCCATAGTATTAGCGCACACGAACCCAGAGCGCCGACTCTGTGCCCGAGCGAGTGCGTTGTGAACCATGGGGTATGGTCCCTGCACATGGGATGGGCTAGCTCAGGAACTTGTCGGGATTCGAATGAATTCCATCGGCTGGCGGTGTTCCTTATGACTGTGCAGGTGTCTGGTTGCGGCGAGTCGAGTGGGCACAAAGTTGAAGTCCAGCCGACGAGGTTCCATCGTAAAGGACCGCCGCATTCAGACGAGCCGTGGTAAGGCTGATAGGATGGCATTGTGCATGGGGGGCTGTGAAGGGGCTGGCTGACAAGGATGATTGTGGAAGAGTATACGCAAGTAGAAAACCCCCGTCGAAACCAGCTGGTGTCGAGGCGGTTGATGGTACTGCCTGGCACATCCTGGCACATCCAAGCACCGGGCAATCCAGAGAAACCCAGGTGGTTAAGATGGTCCGAACCAGGATTCTCGCTGCAGAACACAGACACACAGAGCTGAGCCGCATGCGTGACTTGCAGCGCGCACGACGTGGACACAGAATCGGAGCTGCAGGAGGGGTCTCGGACTTGTGTGACGGAGTGGACAAACAAGGGCGCTGTGTGGGCTGCGTCCAGCCGTGCCCGCTGATGTGAGAGGCAAGGCCAAGGAAGGAATAGATAGAATAAGACAAAACACGGGGCGGGAAAGTGCGAGAGAAGGTACCTTTAGGACTTTAGGTCGGTGGTAATTAATCGAAGCGCGGCCCCAATTCGTCGCGGCAACCTTCGAGTCCCACTCCCAAGCCGGGTGCTCGCATGAGGCCAGACTAAAAGGGCCACATCTGCTGCTTTTCTGCCTCAGCTCGCGACCGCCCAGGTGGACATTTGTATATCTCTCAGGAAGAGAGGTATTGCTGTCTGCCTGGACGCAAGCCGTTTGGGCGACGGGGGACTATTGATTGGCAGGCCACGTGGACCCGGCTGACGCTTCACATCCCTCCCTGATTTTCTCGTTTCGGAGCTGCGCAATCGCGTCCGCTCCGTCTCCATTGGAGAGATTGAAGTGCGCGTCATTTTGCCCCCCTCACCCCCCCTAAAGCTCGTCCATCACGGTGGAGGTCGAGCTCGGGAGCTGCCGGCCAGGCACGAGAAACCTTATTAGAGCCCACAACCCTCCATCGCTGCCTCGACGCCTTGCCCACTGGCCTCTGCCGCTCAACCACCGACCGACACGTCCGCCGAGCGCCTGGACTCACCCCCGCGAAAATGGCGGGAATCGAGCAGCTCGAGATACACAGCAAGGTGCGCACGACTCGGTATCCCCTCAAAGAGTGACATGGTGGCCGGTGATCCGGTGGTGACTAACTCCATGTGCTGGCCTGCTGCTTCGTTTGTTAGTCCTACATCGTTCGCTGGGTCAAGGTTGACGATGGATTTACCGTTTCGTGGAGCGTGCAGCCGCACAAGAAGTCAATGTTGGTCTCGCTCCCTCACACTCTCCCACATTCACCTCCCCCTCTCCTTGCCTCCTAGGCCGGGCCTCCCTGCGGCCAGCAGTGCGTAGCCGCTTTGGCATCCCACGAGCTAATAACGCCGATCCTCCCCCGCGATATAGAAACTTCGGCATCGTCAAGCACCCCGGCACTGGCGGCACGAACCTGGCCACGGCTTCCATCTTGTCCGAAGACAGCCTCGGCGGCGATGGCGAGGGTGCGGCGGACGGCAAGGGCGGACTCTTCTCCAAACGAGATGCTAGCACGGCGCAGGAGCAGCTGTCCAAGAAGGGCTTCATCATGGTCAAGTGGCACGGCAAATGCACCGCCGACAAGGTCACCACAGGCACCCATGACGTGCCTGTCGGCAAGGGCGGCATGTACGGCATGGTCTTCGACAACACCTTTTCCAAACAGACGTCCAAGAACGCCACCTTTGTCGTTCTCACACATCCCACCGGCACTGCCCCGCAGCCCTCACGAAACAACATGGCCGACTTGGGCGGCAGCTCCAACGCCAACGCCAGCACTGCTAGTTTGAACAAGACAGCAACGCAGCAGAGCCCGCGGCTCGGGCGCCACCCCTCCGAGTCCTTGGATAGCCTGCACAGCCATGTAACTCCAGCTGCTGCGGCCCGTCCCGGAACTTCTGTGGGCGGCGCCTCGGCAAACTGCCACACAGGCATCCTGAATAAGCGTCGCCGCAAGAAGGGCCAGGGCTACGCCCGCCGCTTCTTCTCACTCGACTACGCCACCTGCACTCTGTCCTACTATCAGAACCGCAACACGTCGGCCCTGCGCGGCGCCATCCCTCTCAGCCTGGCCGCCATCGCCGCTGACGAGCGTCGCAGGGAGATTAGCATCGACTCGGGCGCCGAGATCTGGCATCTGAAGGCCAACAACAACAAGGACTTTGCCGACTGGGCTGCCGCTCTCACCAAAGCCACCCGCGCCGCCAGGGGAACTGAACCCACTTCGTCCGGCCGTGACAACTCGTTCCCGCACGGCGCGTCCGGTGACGGCCCGCACGGCCAGTCGGCCCAGCGCCTCGCCCCTGCCCACAGCACCGAGGAGGAGGACAGGGAGTGGCAGCAGGTCGAGGCCCTGGTCAGCCGGGTCGTCGGAACCAGGGACGCCCTCAGGCGGCTGGTCAAGGACATGTCGTCTCCGGCGCAGCCCACGTCACCGAGGTCGGCCGTTACCCCACAGCAACATCTTGCGCCTTGGTCTACTAGCACCCCTCCTGTTGCTGAGGAAGGCGATGGGTACTTCCAGACCCCGCAGACCGCGGCGGAGAGGAAGCCATTTTGGAAGCGTAAGTCGAGCGCCAACCTGATCGGCCAGAGCTCGGCGCAGTCTCCAGCAGCTTCACAACAGGGGCTCTCGACGCCGAGCAGCGTCACCACTGCCATCGTGACGGGCAACTCGTCCTCGGCCGCCGCTGATAAGCGTAGGTCCAAGTCGTATGACCTCAACCACGACCAAGGCAGCGACAGCGTGTTGCAGCAAAACTGCAAGGCCCTTCTCGGCGACCTGGACTCGGTTGTGGTCGAGTTCTCGCAGCTGCTGTCCTCGAGCAAGCGCCGGCGCATACCGGTCCCGGCCTCGGCCGTGTCTCGCAACAGTATGGAGTCGACCTCGACGGCTGAGGAGTTCTTCGACGCGGCCGAGGGTGATGGCGACCGCACCGAGCTCCTCATGATTGACAACCGGAGCGACGAGTCCCGGCACTCGGACGACGCCGACGAAGGGTTCGCGCACGAGGAGGGCGACGATGACGGCTCCTCGGTGTCGTCGGTCGACGAGGGCGACGGGGCGGCTGACGATGGTGCGGGCAACACTCTCTACCACCCGGCAAAGCCCAAGTCGCTGGCACCGCTGCCCATCACGACGGTGGTCAAGCGGCGGACCACGGTGCCGGCGGCGACGATGCTGCCGCCGAGCCTTATCGCGTTCGTGCGCAAGAACGTGGGCAAGGACCTGAGCACCATCAGCATGCCCGTGTCGTCCAACGAGCCCATCTCGCTGCTGCAGCGCATGGCGGAGCAGCTCGAGTACGCGCACCTGCTGGACGCGGCGGCGCGGCAGAAGCAGGCGCGCGACCGGCTTCTGTACGTGACGGCCTTTGCCATCTCGCAGTTCAGTTCGGTGCGGGCGCGCGAGCGCGCCATCCGCAAGCCCTTCAACCCGCTCCTGGGCGAGACGTTTGAACTGCTCCGGGCCGAGCCCGAGGTGCCGGGCGGCCTGCGCATGGTGGTTGAGAAGGTCTCGCACCGCCCCGTCCGCCTGGCCCTGCATGCCGACGGCGAGCGCTGGAGCCTCGCGCAGGCGCCGGCGCCGACGCAGAAGTTCTGGGGCAAGAGCATGGAGCTCACGACCGAGGGCAAGATACGCGTGACGCTGCGGCTGCCCGACGGCGCCGAGGAACGCTACAGCTGGGGCGTGGCCACCGTGTTCCTGCGCAACGTGGTCATGGGCGAGAAGTACGTCGAGCCCGTGGGCAGCATGTCGGTGCTCGACGAGACGAGCGGGGCGCGCGCCGCCGTCGAGTTCCTGGCCAAGGGCATGTTTGGCGGGCGCGGCGAGGACGTGCAGGTCGAGACGTGGGGGCCCGACGGCGTCCACGCGGGCCTGGCGCTCGCGGGCACCTGGACCGGCGGCCTCCGCCTCGTCGAGGGCGGCAAGTCGTCGGGCGGGCCCGAGATCTGGTCCGTCGGCAAGCTCGTCGACAACGCCGCCCAGACGTACGGCTTCACCGCCTTTGCCGCCTCCCTCAACGAGATCACGGAGCTCGAGAAGGGGAGGCTGCCCGCCACCGACTCCCGCCTGCGCCCGGACCAGCGACTCGCCGAGCAGGGCAAGCTCGACGCCGCCGAGGAGTCAAAGGTCCGGCTCGAGGAGGCCCAGCGCACCCGCCGCAGGCTGCTCGAGGAGCGCGGCGAGCAGCACCGCCCCCGCTGGTTCACAAAGGTCGCAGACGGGCCCGACGGGGACGAGGTCTGGAGGATCAAGTCGGGCAAGGACGGCTACTGGGAGGAGAGGGGCAAGGGATCCTGGACCGGCGTCGAGGACGTCTTTGAGGAGCCGTGATTTTTTGTTCCCCTCTTCGTTTCGATTTAGCTAGCCAGAATTTTTTGTTTTATTTTGCTTTTTTTTTTTCATCTTCTCTCTTGTGCACTCGCGCTGCGTCCTATTTCCCGTCTCTCCGTCCATGATACCATTTTACCCCGCGATGCTTCGCAAGGCTACAAGACCAAAAGGCTGTTGATAGATGGAAAAAGATGGCTCTCGTAGATGTAGACATGTCAAAAGTCGAAATAAAAGTTTCTGGATGGTATACGCCAGACTAGGTGCCGTATTTTTCACGCTTGCATACCCTTGGTTAAATGTCTGGACATGGGATACCGCGGTACATGTTCACGATTGTCACGGGCTGTGAATGGCTCGATTCCCATAAACCAAACAATATGTCATGAGATGTTGTATTACTGTATATAAAAAGATTATGCGTAGCCTTCACTTCCGGCGACGGACAAGCCATTCATCTAGCTGACCGACAGCATGCGTTTGAGATTCCACGGCGAATCAGGGAACCAGGATGTCCTCCACGCGCAGCCCCCAGTACCATGCAGCAATGACCATTGCGCCGGTGCTCATGGTGAAGGCGGTCAGGAAGTTGACCTCGTTGTTGTCGAGCAGGTCCAGGCCGCTCTCGACGACCCTGCTGGGCTTGTCGTCGCCGAAGCTGCTCCTGCGGTGCCTGTCCTTTGCGTCGTACCTGCTGCGCGACGAGGCGCCCGTCTTTTCGTCCACTCCGTGGGCCGGGGCCGATCCGGAGGCGATCGCCGGCGCCGTGGTCTCGACGGCGTCGCCGGCCTCCCCGCCGAGCAGGGCCGCCTTGACCTCGGCGCGGGCGTTGGTGTGCTTCTGCTCCGGGGCGAGGCCGCCCGCGGCGGTGGGCGACGAGACGAGCACGCGGACGCCGCCCTCACCCTCGACGATCTTGCCGGTGCGGGCGTCGCGCACCGAGCGCTGGAAGAGCGCGCCCAGGACCGAGTCGAGCACGCTGCCGAGGGCGCCCCACACGGCGAGGGCGACCATGACGGCGGCGCGCTGCTCGGGCCTCCAGGGGCTGGCAGCGCCACTAGAGAGGAGGCCGTCGTGCTCGGGCTGGCAGAGCGGGGTGAAGAGCACGGCGGCCACGACCACGATGATGCTGCCCAGCAGCCCCGCGGCCAGGCCGAGGGCCGTGACGCCGCCGTTGGTGCCGCGGGGGACCTTGCGTAGCGTCAGCGACGTGATGAGCCGCGGGCTCGAGGTGGCGAGAATGCCGAGCTCCGACGAGAACGTGTCGGCCGCCATGGTGGCGTAGTTTGCGATGATGCCGATGGGCAGCAGGTCGCCGGCCCACGCCAGGCACAGGCTGCCCTGCGGGGCCGGGCTGGTGCTGCCCGTGAGGAGCAGCTCGCGGCGCTTGTAGAGCTGGTAGGCATGTGCGAGCGAGAGGACGGATGCGACGGCCGAGTTTGCGAGCACTGCAGGCGGCGGGAGCTGTGTCAGCAAACACGATCCAACCCCGCTAGCTCCAGCCTAGGCGTCGGCAGCTACAAGACAAGACGCTACAGTACGCACCTTGCACGTGTGTCCGGGGCCCCTCGCCGCCCGAGGTGCCCTGCGATGCGACCGTTAGGGATGCCTTGACATCCTTCTTGATCTTGGTCACCCTCGTGCCAGCCAGGAAGAAGACGACGAGCAGGGCAAAGGGCAGATTCCACGGGTGGACGGCGTGGGCGATGGCAGACAGGGCGGCGGCAGCGATGCCGGCCGGGGTGAGGCTCTTGTGCGAGTATGCCCGATATACCAGGGCCAGGGTGGCCGGGACCGCGATTATGGGCTTCATAGCGGACGGGTCACGCAAGATGGCGGATTGTGCTCAGGGCGAGCCTGGCAGAGCTTGCCCGGATGTCGAGTGAGAAAGGTTTGACTGAGGTCAGCTGTTGATGACGTTGACTGCAGCAAGTCGCTAGTGCATCTGTGGGTTCCAGTTTCGGATAGCTTGGCCACAGCCATTCGCCTGCCACCAGCGAATAGCGGGCACCAACAAATCACATCTCCCAGCGCCCAACAGCTCGGCAACCTGCACGTTCTCGTCGTTGATGCTTCCACACAGCTCTGGCACGGGCATGGCAATCTGTTTTCTCAGAGCTTGGATTGCTAGCGCAAAACTCACCCTCCTAATCCAAACCATCCCCCAATTTCACGAGGGAGGGGCATGTGACAGAGGCGGGCAGCCTACCTACCACTTCGAGTGCCTGTACCTCCTCGCCAACGAGCTTCGTTGTTCCCACGCTTCGCGGCCAATTGAACGGTGTCGTTTGAAACGGTTGGGAGAGTGGTGGCGTCGGTCAGGCTCACCGCTTGCGCTGAAGCTGTGTGTTGCTGTGCGCGTGCCGTGCAAACGCTGACGGGCGGGGATCTAAATTCGTGTCGGGAGCGCACCAGCATTTCAAGGCCAGCTAGATGGTTCCAGGTGACCCCGCGCTCCACCCCATATCCCCGGCCTACTTGAGGAACCAGGAGAGCGTCGTGCCTGCCCGACATCTTTTCCTGGCCCCGATGCTCTTGCCTTGAACCGGTCTGGTTGTGCAGTTCATGCCGCGTCCAAGCTTTTATTTGCGGAACGTGCCTGCTGTCTGGGTTGCTTTGTGTCTCGGCTGAGCCACTGAGATTAGGCCGCCCCACCAGTGCCGTGCCTGGATTGACCACGCGACCGAGCCACCAATGAGCCACGGGAGCGGGGCTGAGACTGCCGGTACTGACGCCATAAACGCTCAACGCTAGGCGTGCCAGGCCCAAAGCTTGTGCGGGTTGAGGATATCTCGGAGGCACATCACCTCACAGACCAACCAAACACCAACTTTCCACTGGGAAGAGCATTGCACCTTCACCTCCGACATCGCGCCTGTAGAAACGCCCCACCCCTATACGACGACGACCGCAGGAGAAGCTACCGCTGCCATCGAACGGCAGGAGACAACGATTACAGGAGCCTGGAAGTTCGCGACCGCTGACATCACCAACCCTGGAGACGACGAGCACCATGCCGCCCACAGCCACCCGCAGTGGTGGCGGCGGCGGCGGCGCACCTAGCGCCTCGACGAGCGAAAGCAATAGCAGCAAGATCCGAGTCGACCAACGAATCAGCGCCTACGATGTTAGTAGGACCCTGGGCGAGGGCTCGTTCGGCAAGGTCAAGCTGGCCGTCCACAAGGGCACCAAGCAGAAGGTCGCGCTCAAGATAATTTCTCGCAAGCGCCTCGCCAGCACCGATATGGCCGGTCGCGTCGAGCGCGAGATCGAGTACCTGCAGCTGCTGCGGCACCCCCACATCATCAAACTGTACACCGTCATCAAGACGGACAGCGAGATCATAATGGTGCTCGAGTATGCCGGCGGCGAGCTCTTTGACCACATCGTCCAGCACGGCCGCCTCAGCGAGAAGCAGGCCCGGCGCTTCTTCCAGCAGATGCTCTGCGCTGTCGAGTACTGCCATCGCCACAAGATTGTCCACCGCGACCTCAAGCCCGAAAACCTCCTGCTCGACGAGAACCTCAATGTCAAGATTGCCGACTTTGGCCTCAGCAACATCATGACTGACGGCAACTTCCTCAAGACGAGCTGCGGCAGCCCCAATTACGCAGCCCCCGAGGTCATCAGCGGCAAGCTGTATGCTGGATCCGAGGTGGACGTCTGGAGCTGCGGCGTCATCCTTTACGTCCTCCTGGTCGGTAGGCTCCCCTTTGACGACGACCATATCCCCAGCCTGTTCGCCAAAATCGCCCGCGGCACCTACGTCGTCCCCTCATGGATGAGCGAGGGCGCGGCCGGCCTGATTAAGAAGATGCTCGTTGTGAACCCCGTCACCAGGGCCACCGTGGCCGAGATCCGCCAGGATCCATGGTTCCTGACGGACCTCCCCGACTACCTCCAGCCGCCGGCCGAGCCCTTCTTCAACACCGGTATCGACCCGGAAAAGTCCATCCGGCCGAGCGACATCGCCCCCAATGCCCCGCCCAAGGTCCAGGAGAAGCTCCACGCCGAAGTCACGGACAAGATCTCCAAGACCATGGGCTACGGCAAGCAGGACGTCCTGGACGCTCTGGAAGCGGAGGAGCCTTCTGCTATTAAGGATGCGTACATGATCGTTCGCGAGAACAAGCTCATGCAGGGCAATCCGGACCTGGCCACGGAAGACAACCCGTTTCTGTCGGCGTCGCCGCCGACGGACGACAACGGCCCTGCCAGCCTGGCCGCCATGATGGAGTCCTCGGGCCTGGGAGCCGGCGACCCCAACGCCAGCCCGCTGGCCAGCATGTCCTCGGCCCGGTCCATCACATCCAGCAATGCCAGTGCGGTGCTGGCGGCGCAGCAACGCCCGTACGCAAGCAAGATCGGCATCCTACCCAGTAGCCTGACGGCTTACCATAATGCCTACATGGAGAACGAGAAGGCGGGCAAGAACGCAGACGAGGCTCCCCCGACGGCAAATCTGCCCAACGAACCCCCTGCGCCAGCCAGGACGCCTGCCGAACACGAGGAGACATCGCGAAGGCTCAGACCACACTCACGAGCACCCCTGGCCGCAACGGACCAGACGGGCCGGCCACAGGGCATGACGCCGTCGAACCCCCCTAAGAGGGTGAAGCAGGTTCGTTGGCAGTTCGGCATTCGATCGCGTAATGCGCCGTTCGAGGCCCTGTTGTGCATCTACAAGGCGCTTAGGAAGCTTGGGTGTGGTTGGCATGTGGACAAGGACTACTCCAAAGTTCATCACGAAGAGTAAGATGACCGACCCTCTGTGTGGTTGTGCTGTTTGGTGTTTGGATGCTGACCATGCCGCTCGATGCAGTGAGGAGAGGCGCCGAAGCTGGAATCGCAGGGGAAGAAATGGACAGTCGGGAGACCAGGAGGCGAGAGGTGATGCGGGAACACCATACGTGCTGCCAGCTGATCCCTGGCATATCGAGGCACGATGGGAGACGGGCAGTAAGTTGCTACTTGTTTAACCCCATGATGTCTTCTTCTTTCGCTGTTTCTTTGGAATGTCACTAACGAGAAGCTCAGAGCTGCGACGCCATTCGACCGCCACCGACGCAAAGATGGCGACGTCCTTCAGCGGTGACGAGCTGCAGGTGAAACGACGCAACGGCAAAGAGGAGTACCAAGTCGTGGCCATGAGGCTGTCCATCCAGATATACGAGATGGAGAGTGGCGTGTACTTGGTTGACTTCAAGTGCGCGGGCTACGAGCTGCAAGACGGCAGGCTTCTGGAGGAGAAGGACGTCACAAGTCCGTTCCCCTTTCTCGACCTGGCCGCCCGTCTGATCATGCAGCTTGCCGATGCGGACTAGGGGTTGATCCTCTATCATTGGTGGCACCGAGCCACACTCTTCCCCAGGACATTTCTACCCCATGATCCTATGAGCTCCTCCCAAGTTCCGATATCATGCACCGATTGTCTTTGCCTCAGTGACGGCAATGTCGGTACTGGGCTGCTCATCACAATTTCTGGGCATCCTCTGATCCCTCTTTGCCTTTTTTTTTACCCCTATTTTCATCTCTGCCTCCCCTCTGATTCGTGGGGAATTTGCCGGGTGCCCCTAGAACTGCGATGCGATATTATTCCAAGGTTCCTTGGTCGCTCCCTCTCCTTTTTTTTTCTTCCTCCTTTTCTTCGCTAAAGCCTCAAGCTCTCGCTCGGCTTTAGTCCCAGATCATCCAACCTTTCTGAGGTGCAAGGTTAATTGCCGAGTTCCTGTTTTTCTGAGTTGCCACTGAATCCTGAAGCCAAAGACGGCTCCAAGCAAAGGCAGAAAAAGATGGGTGGAAAGTTTGAGTGGTGACGTGTAACAACCAACACACTAATATGCTTACAAGGATGGAAACGGTCATTAGATGATAAGGATGGTATGGATGGGACCAAGGATGGAGGTTGGTGGCAGGCGTTTCTAGGCGAATGAGGCACTCTCTTGATGAGAAGGAGCGCCCTGCTCTTTGATGGCTCTTATTTCATCTATACCCCGGGCGCAAGCTCAAACGACCGTTGCTTGCTTGGGTGTTAGATCTCGTGGTGGGATATCCGATCTGTGGCTGGAACGAGGTCCGTCCCAAATGATACTGCACGCTCAGAGGTCTTGGTGGCAGTGTGGGAAAGATGGAAAGATGCTCGAGCGGAACTGCCGGCGTGGGCAACGCGTCCACCATAGCGTTGGTTGATTACAGGTATTGATATTAGTGGCGCATTCGATGCAACCTGGATTCAGGCACGGGAGGCACGATTAGTGCCACAGCTGCTGTGGAAGCAGTTGTGCACTACCTAGGTACATAATTGGGGGGAAACATCCCCTGTCACAATTGCCGCCGACAGTTGTCGGTGCAACCACGGCTCAATCAAATGCTACATGAGCCATCTATGAATGGACCCAACACGCCGGGTCATTATTTGAGCCACGACCCGGCCAAGTCACAGAGCCGGCGCTAGATGTGCATGGCATGGCCGTAGGTGACGTCTCGGCTTGCGCAAGGCAGGTTCGGCTATCAGCATCACCTCGCGCCGGCAGCTGCCCTGGGCTCCCTGTCTTGGTCCCTGACTCTTAGCATTGACCTTGGGCGCCTCTTCTCCAAGCTACTCTGAGCTCTCGTCAAGGGCCTCTTCCCTATCCTGGGCTCTTTTTTATTATTATTATCCCCAGTCTACGTACTGGGCTTGTTATTCTTCAGATCTGTATCTGTATCTGGTATATTCCTGAACCGGGGACGTGCATCCTACCCAATTATGGATCCACCTCCCGAGATGCCGTCGGAAGCCGTCATGGGCCCCAAGTCCATGCCGACGACGCCCGCCGCAAGCGACGGCCCCCCGAGCGATGCACGTACTTGCCCGTGGCGCCGACGCCGTCGCCGCCCTCTAATCCCCCTCCTCCTAATCGCAGCGGCCATTGCAATTTTCACGCTGCGGCTCCCAGCCGTGAGTGGCGGACCTGGTAGCCGCTTCGAGGGCTGGGCGCCGGCGTGGCCTGCGCCGGCGTCGTCGTCGTCGTCGCCGGCCGGGCTCGACGGGGACGCCGGGCAAATGGGCGTCGTCGGGCGGCAGTTCAACCCGTTCCCCTTCCCGCCCGCGCGCCGCCGGGCCGTCGTCGAGTGCCTGCAGGTCGAGAAGCCCGTCCTGATGCCCAAGGTCGATGACAACGGGGACTCGGCCGGCCGGGACCCGAAGGCCTCGCGGGGCTGCAGCGTGTTACTGATGGATCATGTGTTTGCCCGCAGCTACGGCCAGCCCTTCGTGGGTATGTCGCCCCCCTTTTTTTTTCTTTTGTCTTTGTACTATTCACGAACCAACAACCCATGTTCAGACGATGCTAACCGCCCCTTTATTTTGTGTCATGATAGGCAACTACTCGCCCCCAGATTGCGACTTCAACAGGGTCGCCATGAACTTCACGTAAGATATTCCTTGGATTGGTTCTTCTAGAAATAGAGATGAAGCTTGCGAGGCACCTAGCTAACACTTCATCTCATTTCCCAGCGTCGTGTCAGAAGGTAGGCAGTTCGACAGGCTGGCCATCATGTACCTCAACGACACCGAAGTCTGGCGCACGTCAACGGCCGAGCCTGTGGCTCCCCCGGGGATCCGCTGGGAGTACCACAAGGACATGACGCCGTACCTTTCCTTCTGGAAAACGCCCCAGACCGTAATCTTTGATCTTGGGAACCTGATTGATGACACCTACAACGGCACCTTCAACGCCACCCTGACGGCCACCTTCTTCAGGAGCGACGCGAGGACGGCGGCGGCCACCCCCGCGGACCTCATCATCCCCATCACAGGCCGCAGGGGCGGCCAGGCCACCAATCCGGTCAGCGTATTTGTCGTCCCCGAGCAGGACGCCCGGGCCACGGTCGCGGCCTTCCCGCGCAACGCCAACCGCGCCGTGCTGTCCGTCTCGGCCTGCGGGCAGGCGGCCGAGGAGTTCTGGTGGTCCAACTTTCTCGACAGCGACGTCGCGGCCTTTAACGACACGGCCGGCGTGGGCTACGGGTACAGCCCCTTCCGCGAGGTCCGGGCCCTCATCGACGGGAAGCTCGCGGGGGTCACCTGGCCGTTCCCCGTCATCTTCACGGGCGGCGTCGTGCCGAGCCTCCACCGCCCCGTCGTCGGTCTCCAGGCCTTTGACATGCGCGAGCACGAGATCGACATCACGCCGTGGCTTCCCCTGCTCTGCGATGGGAACCCGCACTCCATTTCGTTTATTGTGTCGGGCCTGCAAGACGACGGAGGGACCAAGGCAGACCTGACAGAGAAAGTGAACTCGAACGTAAGTTGTCACCCTTTTTTCTCTTCGCTCACACTACAATATCTCCGGGTCAGATGGCTGATGCAGAGACCATGTCAACACAGTGGCCAATCACGGGAAAGATATTTGTGTGGCTTGACGAGCCGGGCTCCGTGACGACAGGCACCACCCCTGAAGTCCGCGGGCTGGATCCAAACATTGCCATCTCGCGCCACCTGTCCCAGGATGCCCGCGGATCGAACCAGAGCCTCGCATTTTCTGTGCATGTGCAGCGCGACTTCACAGTAACATCAACGGTGGTGACGAAGCACCGGACCACCACAAGCACCTGGCGGCAGAGGCTGTCCTTTATCATCCAAAGCAACGTGACGGAATACGGAAAGACCCAGATCGTAGACTTGAACGTCACGGGCGCCGACACGGCCTCGTCCGACAAGGCGTCCATCTACGGGCACGACTACCACTACCCGCTCGGCGTCAACATGCGGACGTCGACGGACAGCGCGGGCGCCCTCTCCCTCGCCGCGCGCCTCGACCAGGGCCTCGTGCTGCAGACGTCGGGCGCCGCCGTGTACCCCGACGGGCTCGAGGCCTTTGGCACGGCGGCCCACGGCGTCTACGCCGCGAGCGTCCTGTCGACGTCACGTCGCGGGGTCGCCACGTTCCGCCAGTCGGCCGACAAGCGGTCCACGTCGGCCTCGGGCCGCACGGCGCAGGCCTTTTCGTTTGGCGGCAACTTTGAGCGCTATCCGGACCTTAGCTCACCGGACGGTGGTGGTGGTGGTGGTGGTGGTGGTGATGGCGGTGTTGGCTCTCAGCCCGACGTGATGCTGTACTTTAGGAACATCAGCACAGATGGTAACGACGTCGTCCGCGACAGGGTGTCCGTCTCGGACTCGGCCCTTGGGGACGCCGCCGTCGTTGCTCGCTTCGAGGGCGAGGGCGGCGGTGAGGACGAGGACGGCCCGTTCAGGCCCGCTGGCGAGCAGTTCATCATGACGCCGCCGCCGGCCGCTGTCGGTGGGGAAGAGGAGCAGCCCGGTGGCGGTGGTGGTGGTGGTGCTCCCGGGGCCGGGGCCCAAGGTCAGGTTTCTGGCGAGTTTGCCGTTGCCAGGTTTGGGCCGTTCGCTGGGTATGGGGAGGCCTGAGATAGACGCCGTGGAGGAGGATTTGGCACAGTCTTCTTCTACGGAAGAGCTGTGACTTCCAGTCGGCGTGTTTTTTTCCAACTCGCCCTGGCCTGACTCTCGGTTTTAATAGCAGGCCACCCAAGTACCAACCTGGGCGGACGGGCATTGGAGTATTCGTGCCTCACGACTGTGCGATAGGTGGTGAAGATATCTATGTGGAGATGCGTATCAGTAGGACACGATCGAGGTTCCGTGTTTTCAGAGCAGGCGAGGGATAAACCTCCCAAAAAGAGGGCTTCCCGCCTCATACCCCTTATACGTGTGTGATCCACGTGACAGAACAGGAACCTAAAAGCCATTTTCCGTCAGTGCAGCAAATGTCACTCATCGTGTCCTGAATCTTGCTTGACAATGGGTGGATTTTGTAAGAAGCTATGCTGAAGTACAATGGGAGCGAAAAGAGAAGAAATCTCATGGCGAGAGACTAGGCAGGAAAGAGAAGAGAAGAAAGGTCCGTATCCATCTTCCTTCGACGCGGTGAACCAACTCCTCCCTTCCAAGAAACACGGCTAAAGTCTTCCTTGTCACGGCGGAGCCGTTTCCCCAGAGTCAAGAAAATAGGAGCCCGTCCTGTGTGAACAGAGACAGAGTCCGGCCAATCTCCAGCCATCAAATCTGCAACATGCAATCATGACACGAAATAGAGCCAGCCCTCACTTCTTGCCGAACCATATCCATCATGGCCTTATAACTAACTGCTGACGACAAAGCCACGACCAGCATAACCACACTACTGCGGCTAGACATGACAGCTCGTGACAATCTTCTCGCTAAATGATATATGTGTCTTGCTTCCTTTTTTTGTCTTCTGTTCTTTTCTTTTCTTTTTCTTTCGCGGTCATTGTTAATACACAGCGGTGGCAGTTGGTGTCACTCTTCGCCATGAACAGCCGGGAAAGAGAAGTATTGTCGGGCTAAATAGATGATAAGCCTTTGGTCAAGACGTCGCGTATAGTGTGAAGTTGTTGTTGGTGTACAAAAGCTCTGGCGCATGTGAGCCTTCCGACGAACAGTATGAGCCGCTCATGAAGCTGCTGGCAGGCGGCCGTGATGTAGGCAATGCCGGCGCCGGATCTTGCTGGTGTAGGTCAAGAAAATGTGGGTGCCAGTCCGCCAAACAGGCTTACAGTTGGCATGCGCTGCCTCGATTTTCCTTTGTTGATTCGCTCGTATTTATGACAGTGCCAGTGCTCGCCACGGTGTCGTCCGAGGTAGGGGCGGTTTTCTTTTTGGTGTTGATAGCAGTGGTAGTTGTACACGCTCCGTCCTGGTTTGCGCATCCGATGCTGACTGCGCAATCTTTCGGGGCTGTGACAGTAAAGACCTTGTTCGGAACCCTCGGGCCCGGGTGCTGTCCCGGGTGCTGTCCCGACTGCGGAGCCTTCTAGACCACATCGTCACCATGGGCCCGCCCGCGCTTGGCTGGGTTGGGGCCTTGGGTAAAGTGCTGCTGCATATTTCTGAGGGCATTGCGGTCGTTGCGGTCATTCTGGCGCCGGCGACACTCCTCCGCGTAGCCGGGAACGTGCTCCTTCTTCCACTCGATGGCGGCCTCGTACTGGAGCTGCAGAAGCGGGTTGTCGTGGCCGCGAGGCTTGGGGATGTCGATGAGGTTTCCCTTGGGGTCGAATTTGAGCAGGTCCTGGTTAGCCACAGGCCTCGGCGCCAGAGGGAGCTGGGGTGGCCTCGGAGCCGCTGGGCCGCTGGGCATTCCCGATGGCATCGGCCTGGGCCGGTCAAAGGTCTGGCCTGGAGGCCTGAAAGAGATCTTCACCGGAGAGCCCGAGCGAGGAGGAGGAGGAGCCGGGCCAGCAAATGGAGGTGGACGCCGTCCAAGCATGGGAAGCATGCCTCCTCCAGCCGCCGCGAGCTGGGCCTGCAGAGCAGCCTGCTGTATCATCAGCTGCTGCATTGCAAGAAGTGCCGAAATATCGGGCTGCATCATGTTGGAGCTCAGGGGGAGGGCGACACTAAATGGCGCGGTAGGCAGCAGCTGTCCCTGCGGGGTCTGGATCACCGGCGGCGGTATGATGGCGATCATTGGGCCGGGCGGAATGCCACTTCCAGGAACAAAAGCCCCATTCAATGGGATGACAGGTGCAGCAGACTGTCCGGTCATCTGGGCCTGACCGCTGCCCCCTGGCCCGGCTGCCATCGACGACGGAGCACTCTTTTTCGATGGAGCAAACACAGCAGCGGCCGGGTTAAGGCCCTCGGCCTTCTTCGGCTTGGCTACCTTGGTGCCAGCATCCGTGATGTCGGCCAGGTCCTTCTTGCAGTCGCCGGCTGCCTCGCGGGAACCGTTATCGATCGACGCCTTGGAGCTAGGAACTGAAACAGCCGTGAGTAGGCTTTGTTTGCTCAGCAGCGACGCAGAGGTCACGTTGGATTCTTCGCTGGTGTCAAGCTGCTTGCGCGTGTCGACAGGTCCACCGCTGGTGATACTGGACTTTGAATTCTGGAGGCGCTCGACCAGGTTCCGAAAGTCCTGGAGCTTCTGCATGGACTCGACCTTGCCCGGGGATGGGGGGTCAAGGGTCGGGGGAGGCAGTGAGGTGTCGGCGGGGTATACAAAGCCTCCTCTTGAAGTCATGCCCGGGATCGCTCCATAGCTAACTGACGGCGGCTCTCCGCGTACCGGCATGGGCGCGATCTCTGCAGTTCCCAGATGGGCATCTTGAGCACGAACAGTGCGGACTTTGGCAGTCTCGATAGCATCGGCAATCTCGATCAAGAAGTGGTTCGTTGTGTCGGATCCGGAGCTGCTATCAGATATCACCTCGAACCCGCGTATGCCGAAGCGCTTGCTGCAAAATCCAGCCGTGAGGCTGAGACGACTAGGAGAGCCGTCGTCTGCGCCGTCCTGGGGATCTGTCCTGGACACTCGCCTGACATATCCCCAGCCGCGCGCAGTACGCTCCGGAGGCATATCTTGGGGTTGTGTTAGCCAGCGTCGCGGTAGGAGCGGAGTCTACACCGCATCCTTCAGATATAGAACAGCACCGACGCACTTACCGAGCAAGAGTGTGATGTCTTTGCTAGGTCGTTTGTACCACGGAGATCTGCTTGGCAACCCCAATAGCACGGATAGTGGCAGCCACCTGTCTTGTGCGCGATGGATGCCCAGTGATGATGCCCACCGACTGAAAGAAGACGTCTAGGACGGAATCGGCGGTAGTTGTTGATGGCGGTAAGCCACCCAGGAGACTCCCCCAGCCCTGGATATGTGTGTCGCAGCTTCTTGTTAGGGTAACGGCGGTCCGCAGCCCATGAACGTGCTAGGCGTGAGCAAGCGAGGGCTCGGCGGTTGCTGAGAGGCAACAAAGGACAGGAAGCCGGGCGCAAGGTCGGGAACTGAAAAATAGGACCGTGCTAGGCCGTTTACCGGTGCTGCCCTGTGACGTTGATCGGAGAGAGGTTGAACTGGCCGATGGCTTTCGGTTCTAGCTAAAACTGCTCGCCAAAGTTTTGCGGGTAGAGAGAAACAAGAGAGGCAACTCAGAACCGGCCTCGAGCCCGCTCGACAGCCGCAGCGATGACTCCAGCGTCAGAATCGTATGGCAGGGAGGAAGAGTATTCTGCGCGCTTTTGTATATCGCTTTGGCTCGTTTTGATCAAGATATTGCCGCTCAGGAAGATAGGCAGAAGAAATACCCTAACGCTGCGGCACTCTCTAGCCAAAAAAAAAACAGAGGTGGTGGCGCCTTGGGGGACTGGATGGCAGTAGATGATGGGAGCAAGATCAATGGTGCTTGTTTGGGGATGTGAAAGACAAACGAATACTCGGGCAGCAAAGAGATGGGGCCAGAGCAAAGCAGACCAAACTCTCTTTCCGTGGGACAAGACATGCCCAAAATATGGCAGGAGTTACCCGCTTGGCCTGACAACCACCAACCGAGGAGTCACGCACAAGCGCCAGCCTGGCACCTTCCTAAGCAAGTGCACTCAAGAACACGCTTGCAACAGGTGCCAGCTTGGAACCTTTAGAAGCTATTAGAATACAAGCCTTCCTTCCCAGCAGTCCTCCGGTAAGCCAAACTCTGCTCAAGGGCGGCCACGGCACCGAGCCTCAAATTCCAAGTGCTATCCAGCTAGGCGAACCTGACGATCTATCGTAGATATAAGTCCACCGGGCGGTCGAAACATCAGACGGAGGCTGCCGAGCCCCACTTTTGGGGGGATTATATAGGCAGACATCTAGCCAGAACTGCTGCGCCGGAGCTGGTAAATTCGGCTCTCAATCAAGAACTAATCTCGGGGCTCATGGCGACATTCTACACTGAAGGCCAGATCTAGCTGTTTGCCTAGCCTTGGGAAGGTTATCCAGGGCAAATCAAGCAAGCATGACGTCGTATTTATTCAAGAGAAGACAGGTAAAAAAAAAAAGACAGCATTATCCAGGCCAGTGAGCTCCCCGAAAAGGTAGATAGTTGGAGCACAGCGGCGAAGAGAATACAGACGCCGGTATTACATGGAGAACATAGTAACAAGATATATTTTACATGCCGGCGTTGACCTGACCACCCATGTAGGCACTGAAAGATTTCTGTTGAGCGGCACAAGTAAGCTTGTTAGCATCTCGGAAGACATCTCGGAAGACCGAGAGGGCGTGAAAGGAAGCAGACCTACCGCGTTCCTCGTTTGGAGGAAGACCGTTCCAGGGCCGGTGAATTTACACACCAGACCCTCACCAGAGGCGTAGCCCGACACGAGGCCACCGGAAGAGACACGCTCGAGAATATACTTGGTGTCCCACGCGACCAGGTGGCCGTTGTCGACAACATACTTCTCGCCGTCCGCAAGCTGGAAGTGGCGACACAATCAGAGTCAGTATAAAGCAAGCACAATTTTGGCGAGGCCAGGCACATACGTCTTTGCGAATGATGGCGCCAAAGCTCGTGAGCCAGAGCAGGCCGTTGCCGCTGATCTTGTAGATCCAGAGACCCTCGCCACTGAACATTGCCTTGCCGAGACTCTGCCTCTTGTACTCCTTGATGACGCCTTGGGTTGAGGCTAGGTAGCCGTCGTGGCCCACAGACCAGGACTCCTTGCCTGTGAGTCGGAGGCTGGTGATGTCACCCAGCATCGCCGGGGCCAGCAGCAGCTCCCCGGGGCCTGTGAAGGTCGAGTCGCCCATCTCGCCGCCGGCAACGAGTTTCTTGACGCTAAACTTTAGTTTACCCCTGAGAGTGATGGTGTGTGACATGGCGATCATGGTTCCTAACGAGAACGAGGGTCAGCTGACGGCGGCCTAGAACCTAGTACCCTGGCGCAGGCCTAGCCTGCACAAACTCAAAACTCACCTGGCTTAGCAGAGAGTGGACAGCCCATGGCCAGCTGTATGGTCAGGATGGTGTTAGAGTCGCGGTGGCTGATCCGATAGCTCCCGCCGTTGAATGTTCCCACATCATCGACGGTCGCCGAGGCTCCGACAAAGTGGCCGGCCGTCGGTGCGCCCCCCTGGAGGTTTGATGGGTCGCTCGTGTCGAGCGGCGATTCGGGCGCAACGGCAAGGCTAGTGGCCCCTTTCTCGGGCGGGTATTCGTCGGCGGCTGTTGCGCCGGCCGAGTCCCCAGCAGAAGGTCCGGCGTACGTCGGCGGCGGCGCAAACTGCTGGGACGAGGCGGCCGAGTGCGTCCGGCCGTGCAGAGCTAGTGCGGCATGGTGCGGGGGCTGTTGATGCAGCTGCGGCGATTGTGACTGTTGCGGAGGAGGGGGAGGATACGAGACCGGGGTGTGCGCTTGCGGCGGCGGCGTTGGGGAGGCGGCAGTGAATTGCGGTTGCGCCTGGGCGCCCGGAGGAAGAGGGTAGTGTCTCTGGGGCGGGGATTGTGCGCCCGGAGGAGAAGGATAGTACTGTTGCTGCGGCTGCGGCGATTGTTGCTGGCCCGGCGGTGGCGGGTAGTTTCTTTGGGCGGCGGGCTGGCCTTGCGATGGTGGTGCTGGATACGAAAACTTGGTCTGTGTGGCCGGGGGCGAAGTCGGGGGCGAGGTCGGAGGAGGAGGATAGTTCGTCTTCGGCGCCGGAGCTATATTGAGCTTCTTTTTAGCAACTGCACATGACAGCCCCGGCGACCACGGGAGGAGAGGTCGTGACTCGCGGCCCAAGGGAGATTCTGAGTTTTATCGCCTACATCCCGAGGCTCCAGGCGGGGCTAGAAGTGCTTGTTAGTTCCTATTCAGGAGCTCGATCGAGGCTGCCATCATTGATGCTTGGGCGCTCTCGCAAACTTACGAGGATAGTACTGTGCAGACATTTCTCACGGGCGCAAAACCTAGGTTACAAATATCAAACAACAGTGTAGCAAGCAGGAGCCCTCAGGGCCTTTGATACAGCGGGCAGAGCAGGAGGCTGGCAACGGATGGGAAAGGGGAAGGCTGCCGTCCCCCGCACTTTTGTAGCTTCCTCCTGGCGCTTCCCGCCCTTCAACCGCCCCTTCCAACCGCCTGGCTTTTGGCCCCCACCGTCCATCAAGGCGGGTGTCATTGGCCGAACAGAGGCAACAGGTTCTGGGCGCGAGCTGCTAATTTGGGCGGCCGACCAGCGGGAAGGCGCCAATCAGTGGGGTTGGTGGAGGCGGCATCGCGTGTGGCAGGCAGGCAGGCTGCAGGCGGGCAGCCACTGCAGGCCCCAAATCACCTGCCCCGTCTGGCGCTGTTGGCACGTCGCACAAGGCTTTGTCCAGGGCCTGGATCTGGCCGGTGAGCCGGGCGCTTAGAGCGATGCCATGATGATTGGCGGCAGTTCTCATTGGCCGGCTCAAATCACAACCGCCTCCCCCTGAATTAGGGGCTCGTCCTCGCGTCGGGTCGGCGGCAAGCTGGACGGATAACGTCGGGCTACTCGAACACAGCATTCCCAGTGCCACAAAAAGGCGTCGCGATGCTGTCTAGTCTCGGATGGCACGATGGAAAGCGGTGCGGCTGAACAGCCATCATCATCGCGAAGTCCTACCACCCAGGGATGGCACGTTTGTTGATCCCAGGGCAACCAACGTTCACCAACCTAGAGCAACCAACTCTTCGGCTGCAGACGTTCAATATGGTGAGACCACTTCTTGCCAGACCCAGGATCGATGAGAAAATATTGGCCTCCCTACTCCTACATCCTACCAGCCAGAACCCCGCCTATTCTGTCTACACTACACAAGTCAGCCCGTATCCAATCCCAGTCATCATGCTCGCAAGGAGACGAGATTTGCTGCAGGCCCCTCCGTAGCCACGTGATCAAATTCCAGAGTTTTACCAAGCTCTGTCCAATCAGAAGCTTGGGTTTCAAGCTCTCTCGCTACCCACATCGGTCGCAAGGAAAATGTCATCATGGCGCAAGTCAAAGCTTTCCCTAGTCGAATCCGTGAGGGGAGGAAAAAAAAAGTCGGAAGATCGGGTGGTTCGGATAATCGCACCAAGACCTGGGGCAAGATCCCCATTTCCCTTTCACGTCCTTTGAAGTCCCGTCCAGAGGTAGTCTAGAGATTAAGCTCTCACAGCCCTTAGTTAATTCTAATAGTCCCCCTCACTGTCCTCGCTCGGAACAGGAGCCACAGAGAAACATCAAGCCTCAGCCCATCCGCGGGAACTCCGGATCGTCGGACGTCACCGTAACCCCGAACCGCGCCACTTACGACGACCTCGCAGCGTGTGCGGAACCGACTCGAAATCGTCTCCTTCCGCTTTCCCCGACGTCGGCAATATTTGCCTGGAGGGGATTTCCGAGTACGTTAGTCAGGCGCGCGACGGCCGAGCTCTGTCCTGCTTGAACGAGTCGCGAAAGAAAGAATCGACCGTCACACACCCGGCCTCGGAATAGATTCCTGAACACAGAGTCTGGGCCCCAATCTCAACCAGCAGCCATCCCCCGGCGGACGATGCTGGCCTTCCGGGTCACTAGCCGGGCCGCTGGCCGAACCGCGGGCCTGGTCCCGAACTTGGCGATACAGGACTTGTGTCGCCAAGCTTGGAGGAAAACAAACACGGCCGGGAGCTTGCGCTCGATCCGCACACACGCCCAAGCCCCCAGTACGAATCTCGTGGGCCTCTGGCAACGATTACAAGCATCCGCCATGCCACTGGCAAGGGGCCTGAGGGGAACGCTACAGCGGCGGGTGGCCAGCAAGATGGCCGCGCCCAGCCGGGGGTTCCATGGGTCGAGGCCGCGGAGAACGGGCAGGAGCTCTCCGATCCCCGAGGTTCCTGAAGAGTCGCTGTCTCTGAGCCAGCGGATGAAGAAGCTCTCGCGCGAGTACGGCTGGGCTACGGTCGGTATCTACTTTGCGCTATCCGTGCTCGACTTCCCATTCTGCTTCCTGCTTGTCCGCGTCGTCGGGACAGACCGGATTGGTTAGTCTTTCTCATTGTGTTTCTCCTATTCTGCCTAGAAAGCAGCCACGAAGCCGGTGGGCGTCGTCACCGGTGAAGAGGTCCGAATCCCTGCATATCGGAAAGCATATATGCTGACACCATCCGTCCCATCACGTTCAACCGCGGACTTTGCAGCCGAGATCGAACACGTCGTCGTCTCGAACGTGTCTCAGCTGATCCCGACCCGCGTCCAGGAGCTCTGGAATGAGTGGCGGGCCAGCCGGGCGGCCGGCAAGGAATCGTCGTCCGAGGGCAGCCGGGCGGTGGCCATCGAAGGCGACAACTGGGGCGTCAAGGAAGCCCAGCAGAACTACAAGATGGAAGCCAGTGAGTTTTCAATCTCGCCCCCAATGAGTCTCAGCTCCTAGCAGCTCTCGCGGCCTCCCTCCTTACATACCGGCACTTGCTTGTTTGACGTTGCTGACCACCCAGCGTCCCGTCCCCCTCACCCGCAGGTCTCGCCACCCAACTCGCGCTAGCCTACGCCGTGCACAAGAGCTTCATATTCATCCGGGTGCCCCTGACGGCTGCCATCACGCCTCGCGTAGTCAAAGTTCTAAGATCTTGGGGATGGGAGATCGGCAAGCGACGACCCAAGGCATAATCTTTGTAATCCTCCCTGCATTATACATCAGTCTCATCACATCTCCTCCCACAATCCAAGCGCCTTGGAATGCACACTAGGTAAAAAGAAGAGTGAGAAGAAGCAAGAAGAGATGGGAGACTCGCCACGTAGACCGGTACGAGGTTCCTCATCCAAGAGCATGCATGGCTAGATGAAAGCGCCGTTTGAGAATCTCCACCCGCCGGGCACCAAGACGGCCCCGGAGGGGTACTTTGGTCCGCACAGATGTTTTCAAATATTGCGCATCATCATCGGGCCTAGATATTACAGGGCCGTGCACAGCACTCCCTGCCTGCCTGCCTGCCGTCTCACGCAACTGGGACTACCAGTCGTCGACACGCGAAGGAGCTACGTCGTGAAATTGCCATCACTCTTCGGCAGCACAATGGCTGAGTTTGGCCGAAAGTCTAGCAGCCGCCGACAGAGATCGGAGGAAAGCGGCTGAGACAGGGAGTCTGATGGGCGTGATGTGGCCGGCGGCCCCATCTCGGGAAAGAAAAAGATTGACAAAGGTTCCAGCCCACCGGTAACACGAAGCGTTTCCTTGTGGCTAGGTCGGTCCCCTCAGGGCTTCGGTAAAAAACACCCATTTGAAATGCTCCAAAGCATTTTAGAAAAAGATCGCTCGAGGGGACTAGGGGAGGGGTAAGACGTTGGCCCGTGTAATTCACAACAGCCACTAGTCTGGCGGGCCAGCGGCTGGCGAGAGCCAGCGTGTTTCGTCCACGCCTTCTCGCCCAATTTGACCGACAGGTAGGGACGAGGGGAGAGAGAAGGGGCCGTGCTATGCGCCTAGTGATGTCTGGCAGGTCGATCCCATCGTCGCCCTTTCGGCCGTCCCACGCCCC